TGACTCCTATCACTTTTCATCTCCAGTGCTACTGTTCTGATCTGCTTCCCTTTTTAAACCTCAGCTATGAGTGAGAAAGAGCAAGGCAGTAATGAATCTGGTGCTGGAGGTCAGACCCCAAAAGGTACGTATGGGCTTATCATGGTACTGCTCCGTATCTCTGCCACTTGGTGCAGTTTCCCTCCCCAAACCTGGCTCAGGCCCACTGCGTAATACCTTCAGGGATCAAGGTGCCTCCAGCCAGCTAAGCAAAGAGATGCTTAAGACATCCAGGCTCCTTTTTATCATCAGCTATCCACACTGAAGGTAGCAGCCTAGTCCTTTGGCAGTGGCAGGCCAAGGATGGACATGGGAATTCTGGGGAGGACTCAGATCCTTTGAAAGTGAGGACCACAAGTAGCAGAAAGCAGCAAAGGCACCCAGGCCCAATCCGCTGGAACAGTCTCTTACTCCTCTGGATGTTTCTGCTCATTCTCCTGCCCACCCTGTCCCATCAATATAATTCACACAAAGTTGTTTATGAGAAAGAGCTGACAGTCCTCTGCCCTGCATAAATTTGGGGGCTCCATGGAAATTAACTGCTAGTAAAGGACCAGCTCTGACAATCCTGACAAAGTAAATGTAGTTTCTCTAAGGATTGATGTCTTGAGAGTCAAACTGCATCTCCTTAGAAAAGCTGTCTGTCTTTGGTGCCAAGAGTCCTTCGATATTTTCAGAGAAGCAGTTTTGACAAAGCAGCAAGCAAATCATTTTGTCCAAAGCATGGAGAACCACATCGCACATCAAGACTGGAAACCTCTGAACGTTGGCGGCAAATTTCATTTTCTAGAAGAACCCCTCTCCCTTACTGTCCCACCAGAAGAAGGGAGCAAGAGCAAACCACTGTGAAGATGGAGTAGAGAGGAAAGAAAATACATTTTCTCCAGCATCCATCAACTGTGACGGGTTATGATATCCATCAGAGACCTAAAACATATAAAAGTTCCTAGTCTATATTGTGCATCACTGTAATGACTCAGACACAAGCCTTTCAAAGCTGGGACAAATAGAGCACATGAAGTCTCATCTTCATTAACATGGGAGGGAGAAGAGGCTAATATAGCGAAGGTGAAAGAACAAATATACGCAGTGCCCACCATCGGGGGGAGACGTGGCAACTCTTGTAACACCAGGATGAGCACATACGCTGCGCTGCAATAAAAATGCCCAGCATAAACTAACTGATAAGTATCACCCCATCTAACAGTGACAAAGCCTGACAACTTACTGAGTTGCTTTATCTTTTGCTGTGTAATCTCATCAGCTTTACAACAGCTTCACTGCTTACCTTCCCAGCAGTCTTGTCACTCATTTCAGGATATGAAAGTGTAAGATAGCAATGTTCATGCTCAGGAAATTAAAGCTACCCAGTATCTGTTTTAATCATCAGGATACTTGCTTCTACTATAGAACCTATAAACTGCGTTTTTCTTCCTCTCCGCCCTCCCCCGCTTCAAAGAGGAAAACAAGCATTCAGGAAATGATTTTACCTATCATTCAGCATTACTCAGCCTGAGATTTTAAGTCATATACTTTCTATATTCATCATCAAAACTGTAACTCTTATATAGCCACTTGGAAAATATTGGCAAAACAACTTGGCAAATACTGGCAAAACAAAAAGTTTGTGAAGAACTAGAACATTCTCAATCTTATGTTCAGCATTTGCACAAGAACAGGCATAACAGCAGTAATTAAAGATATATTAATTTTATATAACTCAAGAACCCCTCAGAGCTGTTCAGTTTCATTGTAAACAGCTGGCTAAACAGTTGTTTAATTTCTGATATTACAAAACTGGATACAGTTTCAGAGACCTAGAAACACAGTATTAAACAACATGCCCTATTCTCTGTATTTTATTATCATCATCATCCACCTCCACCCCCATCTGCTATCTCATAACTTCCAGCTGAAATCTCATCAGCCCTCACAAGTCCAGTAGTGACCAAGTTTAATCAATACTTTTGACTAGACTCCAGAGGATCTAGGCTCATTTCACAGGTCCATTTATTTTCATACGAAGCTAAGTTAAGTCATTTAGAGCTATAGCTAACAAAGCACTCAAGCATGGTAATGCTCAATTGCTGTGTAGTGGAAGCATGTACCAAGTCAGACCCCTCAGATACACAGAAGGTTCAAGACCCTTTGTTACCTACCTAAACAACTCACAGGAAGCTAGAGAAAAATAATGGGACCTTACAATCCCCTGCAGACAGCTGCCCTCTCCACCAACTTGAGATTCACAGACCCTAATTCTAATATATAGCATCTGGGTTTGTTGCTGTTGTTCCCCACCCCCACAACTGTCCTTTTGCAGCTGTTTCCACTTTGCAAAGAAAGTTAAGTTCTCTGTTGGCCACTGAAAAACCATGTATACCTGACTCTATTGCCTCTTAATCACATCTTTGCAGAGCTTAAGAGATCCACCTTACAACCCCTGCTCCAATTAATATTTCAGCATGTTATATATGTTATGTGCTTACCAGTGCAGAGGCCGAGGCACTACATTATTGCGGATAATATCATGTGGGACATTTGCTGGATCTTTTCATGCTACTAAAAAAAAATTTTCTAAAAATGCTATATACTTAAAAAAAAAAAGATAAGCAGTTTATGCTTGGGGGGTGGGCCCTGAATGATCTAACACTGAGTAATTTGCCAGGTGCTTATTTCTTTCCTTTCTAGCATGAGGGAGAACTGGGCTGCCCACTTATTCCAGTTAACTGTTCTTACTGGCCAACAGGTCAGGTCCCACCAATGCTGTCCCAAAAGCAAAACAGGCTGCACAGCTTCCTCTTGCTTTCCAGTACCTCTGGGTTTGCTCTGCTAGGGATAGGTTAATTCAACGCTATTTGAGAAATACAGAAAATTGGACCATTTCAAGGTGAATATATACATAAATAGGAAAAAAGTCTGTATCGGTGTACTAGAGCACCAGTTAATAATCTGTCCCCTTCACTAGGGCAAATACAAATCAGAATACTGATCTCTAGCAGGTATGTTGCAAAATGCAAGTTTTGCCATCAGCTTTCGCTGGGCTAAGAGTCTTCCAAATATATGCAATTATTCATCCAGAACAAATATCTAAAGGTGCTTTGGCAAAACAAACCACGTAGTAATTGGCTAATAATGACATCAGTTTTAATGACATGAAAAATGAGTTTGCTTCAAAGGTCTGTTGTATACTCACTTCTGAAGGGAAACCAGCTGGTTAGGTGCTAAATCATCCATCCAACTACCCCCTTTTATCTTTACAAGCAAGTGAAATGGGGAGAGGAGAATCTGAGTTGCCATCTGATTCAAAGTACTCCAGCTGGTTGCATTTCCATCTTTTTGTTAAAGAGAGAAAAATTGTACCCTATGACTTTGTAGCCTTCGCATGAACTAGAGTTTCTTCTGTTACTAATTTGACATTCTTTACAGTCCCTCCCTATAAAATGGATTGAAAGTCTTTCTTGAGCAAATAACTTTATATAAAGAAAAGCAGTATATGCACTAGAAGAAAATTTGTAATTACATTTAGCAGATGTTACAGAGAATTATGAATCTCATCTCTCTACTGTTTTCACCTGCAAAATATGCAAGGGAAAAGCATGTAGAATTAAAAAAAAAAGATTTTGGAGAAGCATGATGATGTGCTGTAAAAATAGCTATTGCTACTGATGCTGTCAAATCTAGGATCAATGTAGCTGTATCAGCAGAACACCAGTACTTTGAGCTTTTATAAACTGGTACAAACACAACCAGCACTAACACTGGTATCAGCCCCTGCAAAGAAAACTGGCACCAGAATAAATATACTAATGAGGTTAGTAAGATATACATATTATCAGGGCCCCATTGGCAGGCACTTGTATTACAATTTATAGCAAATAGGCACCAAACAGGAGAAGCACACTAGGTCAGTCAGTACATCATACCCCTGCATGGTAGAGCCAAACATGTCACTCCAGGAAGAGACAGACGCGTAATATTGTTTCCATGTTGGGAGAAGACTGTAGTTTTCAGATTAGACTTTCCATGGAGATGCCCAAGATTCGGAACTGGACTCCCTTAAGCTTTTACCCACTGAGGGGACAAATAAAAAGAAATTCAAAAGGGATCTCTGTGGTGGGTAAAGGATTTCAACTAAAAATTGAAAACAACTCCTTTTCTGTATGCATGCAGTTTTATTTGTTGCTGATGGAATTACTTGGCTGCACAAAACCACAATATCAATACCTGCCATATTAGCCAGGTTTACAAAGAAGAAAGCAAATACAAAATAAATAAACACCATGTAGAATTTGAAAAGTTGCCCAAAATATCAAAGACCTTTCATGTGAGGTTTTGTACACATTAATGCTGACTGGCGTGATTCTTCATTCCTCACCATACAAAACCCTGATAAGACCCATCTACCAGACCAGAGCAGGGAGGGAAATTACTATTAAGCCAGAGGACAATGCTGGCACACATATAAAGGGTATCAGTTGTCCACCAATAAATCTTAAGAAGTAAGTAAGTTGCTAACTGGAGAAGTGAAGTTAGGGAACTGCCTTCCAAAATAAATAGCTGGTGCAAAAAGTGTACTTGTTAAGATAGAAAGCAAGTGATTTTTAAGAGTGCTTGATCTATCACAGTGACCTTCTTGGATAATAAGGTTCTTATTTCATCTATATCGTAAGATCACAGTTCTCCAACAAGTTAAGTTTGTAATAGAGTTGTGCATGCGTGCATTATAAATCACTACAGTAAGTACAATGCAATGGAGAAGTGAACCAGAGTACAGTTTAGAAATAAGCACAGTTTTGTTTGAATTTCATTGTCATGCAGCTTTTGGAAGGTCATCACTGAACAGGATGATGTGCTGGAGTCTAACATTGACTTTTGGTTCTACCGAGAGTACATTCTTTATAACATCACAGTATTGAGAAAAATATTATTCACTACACAATATTTAAGAATACAAGAAACAATATATAAGATGTTAGATAACGTCACAAAATCACTTTATGTAAATACTGAAAAGGGCTTTGCTTATTAAAGTTTGCTTGTTAAACAAAAAGACCTCCATCTGTAATGCTCATAGCATGTGTGTTAACAAATCAGTATTAAGACATATATTTGAACAACGTTCACATCACATTGAATGAATATAAAATACAAATAACTTATAACTGCTGACAAAAAAAAATACTGAATTGTTGAACAGATGATCTCACGCTCTTGTGTATTTTGTATTTTAGATCTCATAGTTTCTGAATTTCCTCAGAAGCTCTGATGGAGCATCCCCTGACCAGCGGAAACGCAAGTGCCAGTAATTTGCCTCTGAAAATCCTGAGGGAAAAAAGAGAAAGGCAAGTAAATTATTATAAACATGTATAAAACTAAGTTGTCTGAAATAATACTTGATAATCTTCCCCCATAAAAGTAAGTAAAAAATCGGTCACTTCCAGTACTCTTGACTAGCAGGGACAACCTCTGTATTCTTGGCACCATTTGAACAAGAGCTCAAGTAAACACCAAACTTCAAGATATATATCAGCTGGGAAGAGTCCAAAGAAGAACAGCAAGAACGATGGCAGTCCAGAAAAGAGGATTTACAAAGAAAAACTGAACAAATTGCATTTGCTTAATCTAAAGAAGAAGAGATAGAGAGTGACACGATAAATCTCCAAGTACGTGGAAGGCAGCAGTGTGGAGGGAAGGTACAGATGGCCCTTTCCACATACAAGGGAGTAAAGGAGTTTTTCAGACCCTGTGCTATGTTTTTATGATCTATGGGCTGTTAATATTAAAATATGATCTTCCTATATCAGGAAGCTGAAGCCTATTAACAGACTTAGTGTTAAAATCTCTTATTCAGGCTGAACTAGCTACGTGGGGTTTTAGTCCATAATTCTAACAGACCAGCAGACAGCAGCTGGAAATATCTCAGTTTAAAAGTGGAATCCAATATAATAAATTTTCCTGGACCAAAACAAAAGCATTATCAACATCCCAACATCAAGTATGAACACTGAAGTGCATACAGGCCCTGTCAAATAAATATATTCCAATATTAACATTTATTAATGTAAATATATGCCCACTGGGTAAATTAAGTAGGCATTTGATGGGTTTGATGTTTTTCCCATTCAAATCTATGGAAATTAAATTAAAACTTTAAAAAAAATATGAGAAAGAAAATGCCTGCAGAGAAAGCTCGCCATTAGACCTTAGACTAGGTAGAAGGAAGAAATTTTTTACAATGAGGGTGGTGAAGCACTGGCACAGGTCGCCCAGAGAGGAGGTAGTTGCCCCATCACTGGAAACATTCAAGGTCAGGCTGGACGGGGCTCTGAGCAACCTGATCTAGTTGAAGATGTCCCTGCCCACGGCAGGGCGGTTGGACTAGATGGCCTTTAAAGGTCCCTTCCAACCCAAACCATTCTATGATTACAAGAAACAAGATGATGTTTTCCTTACTGTAAAATTTTACTATTTTACAAAGGATACAGTGATGATTTAATTACCAAAAAATAGCAAATAGTATAATTTTATAGAGCATAATTTTTAAATACAAAATTTTCAGTTATGCCTCACATATATTTGTTTGTAGAATTTTCTTATCTATTTTCTGCATTCCACAAATGTTTGGGATTAAATTAGGTTTTGCTACCCTCACAGTTCAACTTAATTTCCTGTTTGATCAAGCTGGGAAGAAATAACAGGACTTTGTTTAATAATAGTTCTCTGATAACATAAGCCTAAGATTATGAAACTCCTGAAGGATCAAGCAGAATAGAGAGTGGCCGTTGTGGTAAGTAAACTTTGATTCAGGCGTACTAACCTAAACAACAGACAGGAAATACTAACTGGCCAGATGACAGGTTTTGAAATACACATTTATTCTGGTGCATGCACTATTTTTTAAAAAAAACTGTTCAAATACAAAAGAAGCCTTCAGGTCTCAATTTTTAGTCCTCATTAACTCATGAGACATAAACTGTGCAAGAGTACTGAATGCTGGAAAAAAAAAAAAATATATATATAATACCTGAATGTTTTATTTAACATTTTAAAAGTTATTTTTAAAAAAATCACTGAAAATAATTGCCTTTTTTTTTTTTTATTTTGATATGGCAGCAAAACAGAACTTTCCATTTCGGTTTTAGAAGAATTTTTTTCTTCTTCTCCAGTTTTTGGTTTTACTAGCAAACAAGCGAGCAAACATGGGGTAGGGAGGAAGAAAGGTCTGAAAGCTTCAAAATTAAATAAATAATAAACAGCATAAAACGCAAAACAAAACCCCAACCCAAAACCACATTAAAAAAACTACCAGTTAAACATTCTGGAGAAGAATTTCTCATGACTTAAAAGCCTCTGTTTCAGGCCAATCCCTGGATACTGCAATTTTTTGTAACTGCTGGTTTCACTTACTTGGGGAGTCTGGATTCTTTGAAGACTGTGGTTTCACATCAGGAATTGCAACATCGTCTTGCTCCCTGTTCCCATCTGACAATCCATCTTCATTATTTTTGGTCTGTTGGGTCCAAATCTCATTAGTTATGTTGTTGCTATTATTCAAGTCAGGAGCTTCCAGCATTTGGTCCTTCTTACTTTGGACAGCCCAGTGCATTGACTACAGAAATGCAAAAATAACAAATAAAGAACTAATTCCTATGCCTTAATAGATTTTTAATGAATTTCTCTTTTCTTTCTTACACTGTTGTAATAAAAGGTTAAACAAAGCACGTATTAGAAAGAAGCTTGCAGGTCAATAGGATAGGGGAAGGTATGGTTACATATTGCAAATAGCATTTGAGAGGATAGTTTATGTCAGGTGGGGATGAAGAACAAAATGTACAAATGCACCAAATAATTCTAAGGGTCTTTTGTCCAGTTTCTTCTGTCATGACTTGTGACACTTTTTTAAGACCGCTTGAGTGGCTTAGAAAATGTCCATTTTCAAAGCTCTCTTTGACTTCAAGGTGCCCTTTGAAAACAAGACAATTTGAAAAGCTTTACTATCAAAGTCTGTGGAATGACTTCTGTTTGGAACTGAACTAAGCTTGATGGGATATCAGTGTTTGTTCCAGCAAACATTTAAGCTCAGGCATGATGCTTTAGTTGAAGAGGCTCTCAGACTTCTCTCATAAGCAGAATTGAGGTGGGCAGAATTGGCAAGGAAAACATTTATTCATCTGCCTTAAAATCTGACCATGTAGACTTGAAACTATCATTCACCCTAATAAGGCAGAAAACAAAAAATCAAACATTATGGAATTAGGATCTACTAGGAACACACTATCAAATTATCTCACTAGCAAAATTAGGAGGGAAAACAACCTTCAGAACATCTGCCTCTGTCACAAATCACCGCACTAGCCTAGCAGGGCCCCTCCAAAGATCTGTGTGAAGCCCGGGGTTCCAAGGAACCTATATTCTAGATTTTTCAATGAGCTCTTTATTTAATCAGATAGCATGGAAACCTATCTGATAAGCAATATACCAAAAGGAGAATATATTTTACAAAGATCCTAGCTTTGAAAATAAATAAAAGGTTCCTACAAAAGCAAAGTGTGCTGAAGCATTTGAAAGCAGCCCTTAAGTTACCTAAACTTCATATAATACACATAAAAGCAGCAACTTGATAAATTCACTCTAAAACTACTAACCAAAAACCCTTCTGTGAATGGGCTTCTATAGCCTTCCAATTTTTCCTGAATTTCCTTAACTTCCTTAGTGCAGGAATCACTCTGCACTATTCCCATCCCCAAAACCCACCACTGCAGAAGAAGTGGTGTTGCAGTGAGTGAGGAGGTAAGTTACATTTTCTCTGCACCACCCCTACCTCCCCCTCCTCCTGAAGGCCCAAACTTAGACAACACCAACCGTTTTCACAGAATTGCTCAGGGCCTCCCACTGCTGGAACGGAATGGTAATTTTGCTTCGTCGCCAGTAATCATAACGTGCTCGACTCTCTTCATTAGTAAGAATCTCCTTAGCTTGCTGCAGCTTCTGGAAATTCTCCACTAGAACACAAACCAAAAAGATACTAAAGCCAATATTTGTTTTCAAAGAAATTAATTCAGATGTGAAAGGGGAGCTGCCAACAATGGCTTAGAGCAAACAGAGTAGAGGGGACAGGAGGAGAGTTGAGTGACAACGGCATGCGGTTGTTCTGCTTACAGCTTTGCAAAGTTTTAGCTGGCTTTAGGATCATAGCACCTTTGGTGGACAGCTGATATCCTTTGCAAATGAGGACTAAAATGCTCATTTGTCTACCGGCTTCAAAATCTCCCAAATTTAAGTTCAGAGAATCTTACAGAGTACAGCAGGCAAAAGGCACATGTCGCCCCCTGTAGAAAACCTTAAAAAGGGAAATTAAACTAGAGTGATAATGCTTAGAAGGAACACACTTACATCCATAGCAGCAAGGAAGTCGGAGCAAAGCACAACACCAAGAAAACATGAGCGGGGAGAAAAAAAAAGACAAGCAAAAATTGACAAGCAAGAAGAGGAATCTAAATACAGTTCAAATTAAGTAACTTGTGCATTTTATTAGGTATGTTTTCTACATGTGCTAAAATGTTATCTTGAATACCAGACTTGAATGAGACCTCTGATTTTCCCCTACAGGGGAATTTTTCATTAAAGGGTTACTAAGGATGCAGCGGCACGTTACTATTTGTAGAAGGGTTATAAAGATTTAGATTTTATCTATGAGTCACCTATGTTACAGTGATCTATTATTATTATTAATTCATTTATTCCAGTTTACAAATTTGAGAGATTTCTTTTGAAATACACTAAGCCCAAACACTAATCAAAATTGGTAACTATAAATCAAACAACAGACAACAGGTTGAGGGGGCAGTTCTATTAGGTTTCCTTTTTCTAGTGCTACTAGTTTTCAAAAAATAAAAGATCTACTTTAATTATTCTTTATTGAGCTTTAAGCTGATGAAATAAAAAATATAAAGTAAACTTTCACCAGTACTGTAAAAAGGTATGTAAAGTAAATACAGCATGTTCAGGTAAATGGAGCATAAAATATTTCTTCTTAACAAAGAAAGCTGCTCCAACATTTGGCACTTGGCCTCCCTTTTTGAGTTACTTAGTTTCAATTAATTGGAGGGGGGCACGACACCGGAATGGGGTGGGGGTGCAGAGAAA